AGAGGCCAGCTCAGCCCACCAGGGGGCGGGCTGGCTGGCATGTGGTGCTGGGGGATTGAACCGCGGTCCCTGATGCTTTTGCTAAGCTTGTTCCAAGTAGGTGCTTTAGACCACTGAGCCATCTCTCCAGCCCTGCCTGTAATTCTTGCAACTAAGGACAAATTAGTTTGCAAGCTCAAACTTTTTTCCAGCAATATGGAATCAAAGATAAAAGAAACTTACCAACTGATGTTTTATGTGCAAACACCTGAATCTTTTTTATATAAATAAATATTTTTCAAATACATTTTTCATTCAGCTCATTATTTAAAACATCCCAAACCTTAACATGCAAATTTATTGATTGATGTGAAGAAAGCCAGACAGCTTCTGTTTCTTCTCTTGGTGAAATAAAGTGGAAATGAATCCAAACCAAAAAAAAAAGGAAAAAAAGAAGGAAGAAGCCACAATTCAAGAAATTATAAAGCAGCCAGTTTGCGCACACCGGTCATCCCAACAACCTGAGGCTGAGGCAGGAAGCTCGCCTGAGATCAAGGCCAATCTGGACTACATAGTGAGTTCAAGGCCAGCCTATACTAAAAAACCAAACTCTTCCTCAAGAAAACTAAAAAGAAATGATAAAAAAGAGTCTGGCACTCAACTAAGATACCTAACAACACAGCACAGAGGACCTTGTTTCACCCTGGACTGTCCCGAGGCCTGGGCCAGGTCTGTGTGCAGCTCTGCCTGCACAGCTGTAGGGGAGCTAGGCTCCGTGCTGCCTGCTGTCGGTGCCATTCCATGGTGCATGCTGTGGCCAGGGCACCAGCACGCATACCTGGGAGGCTCGCTCGCAGTGAGCTGGCAGGCCTCACCCAGCGTTTCCAGTCCTAGACGTGTTTGTTAGTGTCTGAGGGTTCCGCCCTCTGACTTTTCCCAGGCAAAGCTGCCCCTCTCCGGCAGGTGCTGCCCCCGGGGTGCGCTGAGACAGTGACTGAGACTGGGTATGGTGGCGCGCTCGCCTGTAATCCCAGCACTTGGGAGGCTGAAAACAGGAGAATCACTACGAGTTGGATCTTGTGTAGTGAGACCCTGTAGAAGACCCTGTACTAAAATACAAAAAAAGGGCTGGCCAAATAGCTCAGCGGATTAAAGCACCTGCTGAGGCAGACACAGGGGTCATAGGTCCCATCCCTGGCCTGCTGTGTCACTCCTCCCCCAGGGGCACTTTGAGAAAGAGATTGAGACTGGGCATGGTGATGCACGGCTGTAGTCCCAGTACTTGGGAGGCTGAAAGCAGGAGGATCACTACGAGTCCGATCTGTGTAGTGAGACCCTATAGACCCTGCCCTAAATATATATATATA